CTATGATGGGCTCTGTTGACAGTGGTCCTCAGGGGCCTGAGGGCATGTTGCTACACCCTTGTTGTCCTCAGGGATCTGAGGGCATGTTGCTACACCCTTGTTGTCCTCAGGGACCTGAGGGCATGTTGCTACACCCTTGTTGTCCTCAGGGGCCTGAGGGCATGTTGCTACACCCTTGTTGTCCTCAGGGGCCTGAGGGCATGCTGCTACACCCTTGTTGTCCTCAGGGATCTGAGGGCATGTTGCTACACCCTTGTTGTCCTCAGGGATCTGAGGGCATGTTGCTACACCCTTGTTGTCCTCAGGGACCTGAGGGCATGTTGCTACACCCTTGTTGTCCTCAGGGACCTGAGGGCATGTTGCTACACCCTTGTTGTCCTCAGGGACCTGAGGGCATGTTGCTACACCCTTGTTGTCCTCAGGGACCTGAGGGCATGTTGCTACACCCTTGTTGTCCTCAGGGACCTGAGGGCATGTTGCTACACCCTTGTTGTCCTCAGGGACCTGAGGGCATGTTGCTACACCCTTGTTGTCCTCAGGGACCTGAGGGCATGTTGCTACTCCCTTGTTGTCCTCAGGGACCTGAGGGCATGTTGCTACACCCTTGTTGTCCTCAGGGATCTGAGGGCATGTTGCTACACCCTTGTTGTCCTCAGGGACCTGAGGGCATGTTGCTACACCCTTGTTGTCCTCAGGGATCTGAGGGCATGTTGCTACACCCTTGTTGTCCTCAGGGACCTGAGGGCATGTTGCTACACCCTTGTTGTCCTCAGGGATCTGAGGGCATGTTGCTACACCCTTGTTGTCCTCAGGGACCTGAGGGCATGTTGCTACACCCTTGTTGTCCTCAGGGATCTGAGGGCATGTTGCTACACCCTTGTTGTCCTCAGGGACCTGAGGGCATGTTGCTACACCCTTGTTGTCCTCAGGGACCTGAGGGCATGTTGCTACACCCTTGTTGTCCTCAGGGACCTGAGGGCATGTTGCTACACCCTTCTTGTCCTCAGGGACCTGAGGGCATGTTGCTACACCCTTCTTGTCCTCAGGGATCTGAGGGCATGTTGCTACACCCTTGTTGTCCTCAGGGATCTGAGGGCATGTTGCTACACCCTTGTTGTCCTCAGGGACCTGAGGGCATGTTGCTACACTCATATTATCCAACGGTTGGTAACCTGATATGTTTGGGTTATCTATACTGAACATTATTAGTGTATCGTCCATAATAAACATACAATATATATATCAAAGTGGTGTATATAGAGGCAACTCCTGGGAGCAGGTCTGACGGAAAGACGGAAGGAAACTATCAGGAGAAAGCGCCAAGCCATTTCGAATATATTGCACTGGGAAGGGGTCAGGGTAAGGATTTGGGATGGCACGGGGGGAAGGAATTGTGCCCAACTACTTGGACGGTCGGGGATAGAACGCTGACCTGCATGAAGAGATACCGTCGCTCTACCGTCCATCCCAAGTGATTGGGCACCAGGTCTGGCGGAGACATGACCAATGTATCTTCTACACATTAGCCACTGTGTCTCCAAGTGTGTGGATCGGCCAGCCACGCCCCACAAACCACCTCATTTACTTATTGACATATTTTTATAGCGTACTTTAAAAGGTATATATTTTCTTAGGCTTGAACAATATTTAATAATAAGTTTTGTGTTTGAGTCTTCTGTCATATATATAATAATTTATAGACATAAAAAACCATACATATTACAGATGTATGTATATAATATGTATGTGAACACACTATCGTGGAAATGAACTTTTCGTTCACTTAGGCACTAGGAGACTAGAACCACTGACCCACGGTGTGAAGGGAAAGCCCTTCCACTGTGCTATTGGGAGGTCCAATAGAAAAAAATCTCAGAGGCAGCAAACCCCTGCACAACCGAGATTGTATACTTTCCCCGCCTCCCACTAAATGGCCTATGGCTTTGGCATCACTCCAATAGTTCAGTAAACCTGTAGCTCATGTGGCAATTGTGAACTAAAGATGCTGTAAGAGCTTAGCGAGAGATTAATTAAGGGTGATTAAAACCTACAGACAGACAGATATACTGTTGTTCTAATGCTTTAAGTTTGCTGTTCAGATGAAACGATTGTTGCCTCCAGGGTACAGAGCGCATGAGGAGCGTGTGAAGGTTTTTGGTTTTGTTATGGAAGTCGTACAGGTGTGTAGTCTGCGATTTGAAACCATTTTGTTTGTTCTTCAATGTTAACTCCAACAAAATGTGTCATTCTTTTTGTATCCATACTGATTATCTTTTTATTAACTTAGCACGAACTACAATATAAATTAGTCTTTCATCAAATATTTATTATATTATTCGGAGTATAATTTCAGAACTAAAATTTGCTTCTTGTTTCCCCCCAAATATTGGCTGGTATTGGTTACTCTTCTCTCACAACGTTGGCTGGTGTTGGTTACTCTTCTCACACAGCGTTGGCTGGTATTGGTTACTCTTCTCACACAACGTTGGCTGGTGTTGGTTACTCTTCTCTCACAACGTTGGCTGGTATTGGTTACTCTTCTCACACAACGTTGGCTGGTGTTGGTTACTCTTCTCTCACAACGTTGGCTGGTGTTGGTTACTCTTCTCTCACAACGTTGGCTGGTATTGGTTACTCTTCTCACACAACGTTGGCTGGTGTTGGTTACTCTTCTCTCACAACGTTGGCTGGTATTGGTTACTCTTCTCACACAGTGTTGGCTGGTGTTGGTTACTCTTCTCACACAGCGTTGGCTGGTGTTGGTTACTCTTCTCTCACAACGTTGGCTGGTGTTGGTTACTCTTCTCACACAACGTTGGCTGGTGTTGGTTACTATTCTCTCACAACGTTGGCTGGTGTTGGTTACTCTTCTCTCACAACGTTGGCTGGTATTGGTTACTCTTCTCACACAACGTTGGCTGGTGTTGGTTACTCTTCTCTCACAACGTTGGCTGGTGTTGGTTACTCTTCTCACACAGCGTTGGCTGGTATTGGTTACTCTTCTCTCACAAAGTTGGCTGGTGTTGGTTACTCTTCTCTCACAACGTTGGCTGGTGTTGGTTACTCTTCTCACACAGCGTTGGCTGGTATTGGTTACTCTTCTCTCACAAAGTTGGCTGGCAATACTGAAGCAATTCTTTATGGAGTATGAACACATTCTGGCGAACAAAGGAGAGCTTCGAACCTTTTTTAAAATATGTTTTCCAGGTATAGAAATACCTGTATTTCTATACGGAGGGTATAGATTCATTTCTCTCAATGTTTGCAGACGATGCCAAAATTATGAGAAGGATTAAGACAAAAGAGGACTGTTTGAGGCTTCAAGAAGACCTAGACAAACTGCAGGAATGGTCGAACAAGTGGTTGTTAGAGTTTAACCCAACCAAATGTAATATAATGAGGATAGGTGTAGGGAGCAGGAGGCCAAATACAAGGTATCATCTGGGAGAGGAAATTCTTCAGGAGTCAGAGAAAGAAAAAGACTTGGGAGTTGATATCACGCCAGACCTGTCTCCTGCAGCACATATCAAGAGGATAACATCAGCGGCATATGCCAGGTTGGCCAACATACGAACGGCATTCAGAAATTTGTGTAAAGAATCACTCAGAACTTTGTATACCACATATGTCAGGCCAATCCTGGAGTATGCAGCCCCAGCATGGAGTCCATATCTAGTCAAGGATAAGACTAAACTGGAAAAGGTTCAAAGATTTGCCACCAGACTAGTACCCGAGCTGAGAGGTATGAGCTACTAGGAGAGACTACGGGAATTAAACCTCACTTCGCTGGAAGACAGAAGAGTTAGGGGGGGACAAGATCACCACATTCAAGATTCTGAAGGGAATTGATAGGGTAGATAAAGACAGGCTATTTAACACAAGGGGCACACGCACAAGGGGACACAGGTGGAAACTGAGTGCCCAAATGAGCCACAGAGATATTAGAAAGAACTTTTTTAGTGTCAGAGTGGTTGACAAATGGAATGCATTAGGAAGTGATGTGGTGGAGGCTGACTCCATACACAGTTTCAAGTGTAGATATGATAGAGCCCAATAGGCTCAGGAATCTGTACACCTGTTGATTGACGGTTGAAAGGCGGGACCAAAGAGCCAGAGCTCAAGCCCCGCAAGCACAACTAGGTGAGTACAACTAGGTGAGTACACACACACACACACATACACACACTGCAACCTATAATGTACATCTAATGTAATGTAATGAACCTGTACATTAGTTGATTGACAGTTGAGAGGCAGGACCAAAGATCTAGAGCTGAACCCCGCATGCGCAATTAGGTAAGTACACACACACACACAGGACGCTGGTGGCTGAATGGACAGCACCCTGGTCACGTAATCCTGTAGACCGGGGTTCGATTCCCGGCGCTGGCTAGAAACAAAATGGGCAGAGTGTCTTTCATCCTGATGCGCCTGTTACCTAGCAATAAATATGTACCTGGTAGGTAGAGAGCTGTTACGGGCTGCTTCCTGGGGTGTGTGTGTGTGGGGGGGGGGGAATAGTTAGTAGCAGGTGATTAATTGATAGTTGAGAGGCGGAATCAAGGAGCCAAGGCTCAACCCCGCAAGCGCAACTAGGTGAGAACACACACACACACAAGACGAAGCTGGAAAAAGTCCAAAGGTATGCTACTAGACTAGTCCCAGAACTAAGAGGCATGAGTTATGAGGAAAGGCTGCGGGAAATGCACCTTACGACACTGGAAGACAGAAGAGTAAGGGGGGACATGATCACAACCTACAAAATCCTCAGGGGAATCGACCGGGTAAACAAGGATGAACTATTCAACACTGGTGGGACGCGAACAAGAGGACACAGGTGGAAGCTGAGTACGCAAATGAGCCACAGAGACGTTAGAAAGAACTTTTTCAGTGTCAGAGTAGTTAGTAAATGGAATGCATTAGGAAGTGATGTGGTGGAGGCTGACTCCATACACAGTTTCAAATGTAGATATGATAGAGCCCAATAGGCTCAGGAATCTGTACACCAGTTGATTGACGGTTGAGAGGCGGGACCAAAGAGCCAGAGCTCAACCCCCGCAAGCACAATTAGGTGAGTACAATTAGGTGAGTACACTACGACGAGGCATGATCTCTACCTATAAAATTCTCAGAAGAATTCACAGGGTAGATAAACTGTTTAGCACGGGTGCTAAACAGTTTATCTGTTAACCGTTAAACTGTGCATGGCGTATATATACGCCCTGAGTAACATGTCCCACGGTGCGCATGGCATATATATACGCCATAGGGTGCCAGGCTCGATTCAAATGGCCCGCGGCTACATGGGGCTCACAGTAGCTTCCTCAGGGGTCTTGTAAACAGACGCCATTTTTTTTTAAAAATCGTGGGCAATATTCTCAGGTGTGAGAGGCACAGTACTGTTGGAGCAACCAAGGCCGGCGCACGCAGCATGAGCGAACATCATTGCTGTTCAGCTTGTGACCACAGCATCGCCGAAAAAGTCAAAATAAATATATAATTGTTATTATTTAGCGATGACAATATTACAGATGACCCCTGACTGTGATATAAATAACCAGGGTTGTGATAATAGCAGGATTGTTGTAATAATTAGCGCTGTGGGAGGAGTGATGCTGAGAGATGGAGGGAGACAGCATCGTTTACTGACTGTGTGGCTACCTGTTATTGTTTGCATTCACCATACCAGGTCAGTGGTTCTCTATGGTGAACACAAATGTAGATACTTATATATAATGTGTGTATTAGTGTAATACCAGCAAAAGGATTATGCTGGGAGGAGCCATATAGGTGACGGAGGTGATGTCGTCTGCACGATTTGTCTAGCTGTTTAGAGAGTGGCCACTATGCTCTTTGGGCGCACTACAAGCTTAGGTGTACAGTTACGGTGCATAAAACATGTAGATACTTATATATAATATGTGTATATAGTGCAATAACATTGCAAACAGTATTGTTGGGGGGAAAAAGTTTAGTGCGTGTGACCTTAAATGAGTGAGGGAGCCGCCAGCCGCCATCTGTGTATAGTGACGACTCTTAGTGCCTGAACTAACTATCAGCTTAGCTGTACAGTTGTGGTGAACAAAATATATACATACTTATATATAACGTCTGTATATAGTGTAATAACACCACAAATGGTATTGTTGGGG